CCATCTACTCGCGCTATGGGGTATATAGAGTGCGCTACTCAACCCTTGCATATTCCCCAGTGCACTGAGAATTGGCGCATGCACTTTGGGGCATTTTAAACCTTGAAATGATCCAATGTAGATATAGTGATATTACTGATATACTTGTTCCATAATATTTTGAAATAAGAGATGATTAATACCAATTTCCCCCAATCACCTTACACCTTCAGTGAGACCACTCGCCGGAGTCCACTCTAGATTTTCTTGGACAGAGACAACCAAGTGAGGATCTTTGATGTTACTCCGGCAAGTTAGATTGGTCGCAACATGAAGAGCATCACCAATCATTGTAGATTAGGAAGACAAATGGAATTATGATTGGATGCTATAATAGCTATATAACTATGGAATGAAGCCTATGGTGTGGATCTTTGATGTTACTCCGGCAAGTTAGATTGGTCGCAACATGAAGAGCATCACCAATCATTGTAGATCAGGAAGACAAATGGAATTATGATTGGATGCTATAATAGATATACAACTATGGAATGAAGCCTATGATATTTAGTAAACATACTGTCAATAGTCAATACAATCACGAGTATGCTTTAGGAGATATTTCAGAGGATTGTTTGTTAGCACAGACTCGGGTGCAGTGAACTTCGTATCCGGATAGAACTATAGAAGTTATCCATTCTCTCTTCTCAGGGGAGTCACCCCCAGGGTTTCTTGATTTGGAATGTTAGGAAGCTTAATTCTCCAGTCACACAATTAGAGGTCAGCGAATTATTTTGGAGATATAAGAATTTGCAGGTACCTCATTTTGGTGGTATCAGGTTGGGGGATATAATTGATAGCATCCAATCCCTAAGGTAAGACTCCAATTGCCGGATGCTGCTTTGGACTCTGCTTGGTGGGGTTACTTGGCATTTGTGGCAGGAAATGTACAAAAGGTGGAAAACTGGAGTTGGTAGTTGCTGAGATTCTCAAGGACTATGAGATCTGTTTTGATTTGAAAATCTTATAGACTTTGAATAACTAATCAACTATATGCTCCTTATATAACAAACAATATTTTAAGAAGTTTAACAGAAACAAAGAAAGTCTAATTTCTCTTTTCCATCATAATACTAAAAAGTGATTGTCTGTTTGCTCTTCTAATTTTATATTTTCATCCTCTCGTTGTGGACAAATAAGAATATGAGCTCGTTCAACATATTGAATCTTAACATCTTATGTTTTTTTCTTTAAATCTTAGATGTCCAATGATTTTTCTCGTATTTCCTTGTTTTTTTGCTAAAAAAGTGTATTCAACACTCATTCAACAATGTCTTATTATGTTATGATTTTCATCTTTAAACATTGGATGGTCAATGGTTTCTTTTATCTTATCTTTTCTTCGTTAGAAAAGTGCATTTGACAGTCAGATTCTGATCATTGAACATTTGTTGCAGAATCATCATAAGAAAAATGACCTATTGCAAGTTCAGCTTCTATTGACATATTTGCAAAATGGGATAACAGAGCCATGGCAAAAAATTCCATCTATTATTGCGATATTTGCTGCAGAAGCATCTTTTATATTGTTGGATAATTCTCATGTCCACTTCCAGACTATACGTAATCTGTTGACGGAATCTCGTAAAGTTGATTTAAAGGTGTGTATTTTCGAAAAGAGTTATATATAAATTTCAAGGTTTGAGTCAAGGTTCCGGGTGCGCGCGCATATGCGATGATGCGCCCGGATCCAGTGTTTTGTTTTTATTTTAAAAAAAAAGGCAAAAAAAATTTATTTTAAGACCTTATAAATTTTTAGCATAAAAATTTATACATTGGTCCATGAAAAGAATTATATTATTTTTAATATAAGCTCCTCCCACTCTTTAGACTTCATATTTGTTTTAGACAAAATGAATCTTTATTTATAGACCAACCTTCTTTGTGTTTTTTGAATTCTATCGATGTGGGACTAAAAATGTGTGGTTAAATAAATTATTATTATAGAGTATTTTTTATGTTGTAGATGTATTAAAGAAGGCCCAGCCCAGCCCATTACGTTATTATTTTTTAAAAGCCTCTTGGGTTATTTATTATTTTCTTTTTATAAAAGCCTCTCTTTTATAAGTTTAAAGAAACCCTAGCCATTTATAGAGCTATATTATTACGAAAATACCCCTAAATGATTAACCGGTTTTTAAACCTTGGTGTTACAATGAATTATAGGGTGTTATAATAATTAATAAGTAGATGTATTATAATAATTTTTCTATCCAATATATTTTTAACTAAAAAATTTAATTAATATAATTTAGATATATAAAAAAATATTAATTTCCTATAGTTTTATAAATATTTACGAAAATGCCACTGGCGCATCTGAGCGCATATGCACGCATATGCTCAGATGCTCCAGGCGGCGGCGCATCGCGCAGAGGCGCATCCGGAACCTTGGTTTGAGTTATCCCTTCGACCATAACACCGTACTCCGGCTACCAATGTTATATGGTGACATGGGTATAGCAAACTATACCGCCAATCTTTATTTTTGTTATATATATTTTACCTACCCTTACCCGACTACTTCGGGCATGGGCATGAATCAAATTATCCACACCCGAGGTACATGGTACCATATCAAATTGTGCACAAAGTGTGGTCTATTTGGCCACCGTCTACCTAGCTGTCGTCCCGGATTTCACAACGAGAACGAGTCAGAGCAAAGCAAGAACCAGGAATCAGGGAACAACATGAACGGAAGCTCCATAGGAAGCCAACCAGTTAATCAACCATCGGCGACGCTCAACCATGGAGATATTGGAGACTCCGGAAGTCACTTTCATCATAGCCCTGTTTTGCCTAATCAAGAACAAATGGAATCTAAAGCTCAAATGCTCCATGACATTCCAATCCAGATGAGCAAAATGCTTTAATCGTTCTTCTTTTATGGTCATCTACAATATCTTTTATGACTTCTTCCAATGGGTTATAATAGGTGACCTTCTAGGAATGTTTGGAAATCCTCTACATGTTGAGCTACTCAACACTTCAAGATCCGAAAGTTTTTGTAATCTAACTTTCATCTTGTTCACTTTCAAAGTTTCGCCACCAATCAACACTCATGTATTAGGTATTTTCTGGCAGAACCACGATAAAATGTTTGTCCATTTTAGGTTTCTGCATTCTCTCTGCTTCTTGATACACGATTTTTATCTTTACCATTACAGATTGGTCGGTGACATGCGAGTATGCAACAATGGTAGGGGACGGGAACTGGGAATAGAAAAGTTCGACGAGAAAGATTTTTCTCACGAGAAGATTATCTATTGGAATACACAAGATGAATCTGGAGCCCACCTATTCTTTATTTCTCCATGCACCAAAACCATTCTTCTCTGATTGGTTGGGATTCTCAACTACTACTTTTGGAAGTTAACAAACTCTCTCATTCCCTCTTTGATCAGTCCATGCATTAGACTAGGTGATTTGATTGAAGCTTGCCAGAAACTCACTTAACACACCCCTCTTTGGACTATGTTATGGAATGTCCTAGGGGTGCCTTGCTCGACATATCTGGTCCAAAAGGAACAAAGGCCGAAGCAGCATACTCTAAGATCTCTAGAGACCCTCACTAAGGATTATGAGAATTAGGGATTATAAATTAGGATTATTCTCTCTAGAATAGTACACTAGGGTTAGGGATTAGGAACTTTGATGCTTCTGCATCTGCCTCTCATATCAAAAGAATCGGATGTAGGTAGGCTAATGGATTGCACTAAAACAAAGTTGCTCTCTCGAAAAGATTAGCGAAACCCTAGCCATCCCCAAGGTTTGAGTTGCGCCAGAGCGCGTAGCGTCGGCTACCCACGCTATGGGGATATAGCATGCTATAGCACCTCCATGGTCCACCTCAACAGAACCTGACCCACTAGAAAAAGGCATTTGGGTCAGGTGGAGAATCGATAACTTTAGATTTGAGGAAGTGGTGGCACCTCTGGAGGAAGAGAAACACAATCCAAAATAACACACATACTTCCTTAAATCCTCTGTAAGGAGATCCAAAAAACAGAAATTCAACATGGATCCGCTCAGAGCTCAATATCTACTAATAGGTGTGAAACTGGCTTTGGCATTACTCACATATGCAAGTGCCTAAAAAACCATGCTTTTTAAGGATAGGGACAATGACTTCTTGAAATTCTCTGTAAGGAGATTCAAAGAACAGAAACTCAACATGGATCCGCTCAGAGCTCCATATCTAATAACAGGTGTGAAACTGGCTTTGGCATTACTTGCATATGCGAGTGCCTAAAAAACCATGCCTTTTAACTTTTAAGGATAAGGACAATGAGTTTAATCATTGTATTATTTAGGCTTGACGACCTCTTCTAATCATAGTTTTGAAAGCGCCTCTTTAAGCACACTTGATGCGCGCTAAAGCTCTCTTGGTGGAGCGCTTTTCCTAGAGCGGGTTCGGGTAAAAATTCGCACAATTACCCAATTATACACCTATTATTTAATAATATTTTTACTTAATACACTTATTTTCCTGTTCTACTACTCTATTCTAACTTAAATTAAAAACTCTTACCCCACTTTCAGATTTTAGTTGGATTTAATTTTAGTTATATGAAAATAATATTTAATGTTATATTACATGTGATTTTATAAGGTATTTTTAATTTTCTATAGATTTTATGTGTATTTATATAGGATTATATGTATTTTTACAGAATATTACTATTTTTCTATAGATTTTACAAATATTATAGCGTTTAAAGCGCGCTAAAGCTCTCAGAGCGAAAAAGCTCTTCTTGAAAAGCGGAAGAAGCGCTTTTCGCTTTTTTGAACTATGCTTCTTAAGGTGTCAAACGAGCCGAGCTTTTGCTTATAGAGCCGGGCTCGTTAAGGAACTATCCAGGCTCGAGCTCGCCGAGCCTGGTTTTTGCCGAGCTCGGGCTCGGCTCGTTTTAAGAAATGTCAGGCTCGGACTAGGGCTCGAATTAAAAGAAATAATTATTTGGAGGCATGGGGGATTGAACCCATGACCTCTCAAATACTAAACAAACCTTTTACCAACTATGCTATACCTCTATTCTCTCTAAATATAATATTTTTTTTTGTTTTTTATACTCCTTACCGAGTCCATCGAGCTTAACGAGCTTGAGGATTGGGCTCGGGCTCGGCTCGTTGGGCTCGTGAGCCCGAGCCGGGCTTTATTTGACACCCTAATGTTTCTAATATCTTTATAAATAGAGTTTTACCAATTTTGTATTTAATTTATCCTTAATTCCTCGTTCTCTAACGTAGCAATTTGCTCATATGTTTGTACAGAAAATCCCTTTATTTGATACTTTCTTTAAGCAGTCAGTTAAGGAAAGCTCTTTCAATTCTAGAAGAGTGCGCTTGTGGATTCTGCAGTTGATATATGCTGGACTAAATCAAGATGATGATGCCCAAATTCTTATGATTGGCTTTGTCATTGAATATTTGCTGATCTTTTATGTATCTTCTCTTTCAGATGCAGAATCAAAAATTCTTATTCTTCAGGTATTTATCTTCATTTTTTAGCAAAAGTCAATTTTTAGTTTTTTACATAAGTAATTAAATCCGTAACATCACTCAGTTAAGATATCTAACACCTTTGAAACCATTGTTTTCCGGATACCAGCAAGTATCCACCTACTCTCTTTAGGAAGCTAGACTCACTTTCTTATCGTCTTTGCATCTGGATGCCTAAAAAACTACGAGCTTAGCAAAAGTGGTAATGTTATCCTATTTGATTCTCGACATTTCCGTGAGACGATATTCCATCTTTTAGGTCATCCTCGTACCCTCTTATTCTGTTTTTTCTATGATGCTGTCCAACTTTGTGCCAATTCTTATTTCTTCCCTTTAATACTAGAACAAAAATAATAATTTCTCCCCCATGTTTTCTTGGATAACTTTGATAGAAGGTTTTCCTTACCTTACTGCCATTTCATATTAAAATTCTGCCTGCAACATTATTATATCGACCTTTTGTTATTAATCGTTTCCCTCAAAATATAAGAGTTCGTCTTAGGTCTCTGAATCATCTTCCAAGGCCTGTTCTTATTTTTTAATGTACTGCATTCTCATCCATTTTTCCAGACTAATTCATCTCAAGTGAGTCCAGTATTTTCCACAACTTCCTGATCATGGCAGTCTTGCATAGTTCCTCAATATTTTTTAAACCCTAGGCCTAATACACTGTTTCTAAACAACCATAAAAAAATTTACCATTTTCAAAAAACATTATACTTAGCCTTCAATCCAATGTATTTATCTTTAAACAAATAATGCAATGTACTTTTTTTGCTTCAGATATTGAAGAAATCTGTAAAGTTGCATAAATTAGCTTGCCGTTTGGTCATGGATGGTGGTCTTATTTCGTGGTTATTTTCTGATTTAGTATTGCATGGTAAGATGCTCTTGGGTGATGAGAAGGGAATTTCCATCAAACAATTAGAAATTATTTTGGAGGTAAGTTTACAGTTTATTTCATTGGAAATCTCTACACATTTATTCTTGATCACTAAATAATTTGTTGACTCATTTAATCATTTTCCTCATTTCTTAATAAAAAATGATCTGGTTGTCCCCATTAATTATATTGATCATTTTGTTCCCAAGCTTTTACATGCAGTCATGCACTCATGCAATGGAGCCTCTGACGCATGACCGTCTGGGGCAACTAGGCATCACATGAAACATATGGGAAGGTTTGGAGTAGTCAGTAGAGAAGTGAAGAAGGTACCAAGGTGGAATGTTGGAGCTTGCTGGAGGGTCGTTGGAGATGTTCTGATAATTGCTGGAGGTTTGTGGAGGAATGGGTGGTGGTGGCTGCTGGAGAGAATAAGGAAATGGGAAATAGTTTTTTTAAACCATTAAATGGTTAGGCGCCTAATCCGGACCATCATCTGAATGTGCTTGGTCGTATGCTCGTCTAAGAGTGCGCATGAAATTGACTCGACATTTAGTTGACTGATGAAGAGTTTTTTTTTTAAAGCAATTAAATTTCATTAAGAAAAAAGGCAATGCCCAACTTACATAAAGTATAGAAATAAAAAACAGAAGTAAAAAGAAATGAACAAGAAGCTCATTGACTCTCTCCCATTAGCTATGTATTCTAGTTATACAGTAACTAGATACACTGCCTTAGGAGGTTGGTCTCCTTCCATACTTCCATCATAGATGTCTCCAAAGGATGACAACAACTCTTCTTGTAACACTCCGGATCAAAGGAGAGACTGATGTCTTTAATGACCTCCTTAAGGACTATCTCAGGGAGGCCTACTGAGTAGAAAGTTATGGCCTAAGTAGAAAGTATATTTTTAGATTATAGTTTTTTGGAGTGATCTTCAACATCCACTTTCTACCCACCCAAGATACCACTCTGTCAAGACTCCTCTCGCCAAAGCTCCATCCACATGCCTACTTTGGAACTTCTGTAAGGGAGGATATATTGCATTGAGGCTACCCAACACCGAAAGATGGGTGGGATTTTCTCAGAGAAAGATGAGAAAGATCACACCGAAAAATTCAAAAGATGGCTCAAGCCACACAAGCCACACTAGGTTTTTTCACCCACCCCTCTGTTCAATAGAATTCTATAATGCTCTGTTATTAGGGTTGGAGATCCTTGGCAGAGTTGAACTTCCTTCCAACAAACTTCTCGGATTCCCATTAGGTATGGAGGCTTAATGTAATTGGAAGTTACAACTTACAAGTGTGGAGACTGTTTAATTGGCCAATTAAGTGGTCGGTTATAAGGTCAATTAAACAAATAGTTTGCGAAAGGAAAATTTCAGATCATCAGTTCAAGGGAACTATCTTTTCAACGGTTTTCATGGATGATGCTGACTTCAGGTGCTGTGACCAATCATGAGACACAATCTTCGATTCGCCTCTGATAATTAGCAAACTATTAGCGGATAGAATATCAAAGGTCTCAAGTGAATTGATATCAGCCAACCAAGTTGCTTTTATACAAGGAAGAAACATCTCTGACAACACCATATTGGCTGATGAGATGTTTTATCGGTTTTGCAGAAAAAATGAGCACCCAAGAGCTGTTGTATCAACATTGACCTAAGGAAAGCTTTAACACGATGAGGTGGGAGGCCCTAATTGCCACATTACAAGCGCATGGCTTCTCCCATAGTTCAAAAAGCGACGCTTAAGCGTCGCTTTAAGCGAAAATAGCGGCAAAGCGGTTTTTTTGGACCGCTTTGCCAAACGCTTTATTCCAGAATGTTATAATGTGTTTTTTGGACCATTAATGAGGTATTTATTTATCTCATACACGTGTTATTTATCTTATTTGACAGATCTATGAGATAAAAATAATACGTGTCTATTAATGGGAAGTTAAAGATAGCTAAAGATATAACCGCTTTAGCTAAATAATACGTGTCTATTAATGGGAAGTTAAAGCTTTAACCGCTTTAGCTAAATAGCTAAAGATATATCTGTTTATATTTAGCTAAGATAACCACTTTAGCTATTTAGGGTTATATATAGCTAAACCGCTTTAACCGCTTTAAGCGACGCTAAAGCGGTTAAAGCTAAAAAAGCGCTCCCTGGAAATTGGGAGCGCTTTCCGCTTTTTCGAACTATGGCTTCTCCAACCTATTTTGTAAGATAATCTGTAACTGTATCTCCTCAGCTTCCTTCTCAGTATTAGTTGAAGGCACCTCCACCCCTCCATTCAAGAATCAAAGAGGCATTAGGCAAGAAGACCCTCTCTCCACCATTCTCTTTGACATGGTGATGGATATACTAAGTACACTAATTGAAAAGGAGGTAGAAGAAAGGAAATATGACTCGTATATAGTCAATGGAGCGGCACCCCCACCCCTCCATTCAAGAGTCAAAGAGGTATTAGACAAGGAGACCTTCTCTCCACCATTCTCTTTGACATGGTGATGGATATACTAAGTACACTAATTGAAAAGGAGGTAAAAGAAAGATGACTCATATATAGTCAATGGAGCGACATCCGTAACTCACTTAATGTATGCAAATGATATCCTGCTCTTCTCTAAAGATAATCATAAATTCTAAAGGCCGTTAAAAGCATATTAGAGACTTTCTCAGCCTTCACAGGCCTAATGATCAACCCTCAAAAAAGTTCTATCACCTTCTCCAAGATATGTGAAGATTCCACAGAACTCCAACAGATCCTTGATTTCCTAGTTTCTAAACTCCCCATAGTTTATCTAGGCCTCCCCATAACAAGGAATAAGAAATCATACAACCAATGTTGGAGGCTAATATAATCCATAGAAGACTTGCTAGCTAAATGGAGCGGTAAATGCCTCTTCTATGGAGGTAGAATCCAACTAGTAAACTGGATACTAGCTGGAAAATACACCTAATGGGCCCAAGGCATCGGCCTACCTTCCTCTGTCCACAAAAAAGTAAATTCAAAGGATGGCCTACCAGTTCATTTGGGATGGAAGGAGAGGGATATCATGGTTATTAATGATTCTACCTACGGAGGAGGGAGGATTAGGGGTTAGAATCCTCCAAATGATAGCCTCTGCTGCCCCTATTAAAAAAGTAGTTACAATATGGGGTAAGCAATCTATCTTTACACAATGGATGTAGAGAAGATACACCAAAGCCAGGGCTCTCAACAACATTAGCCCTAAACACTCCATTGACTCTGCCCAATGGAAAGATATTTTAGACTCCAAAGGGAAAATCAACCAATGCTTGTTATGCAGGGCCGGAAATTCTGAGGAATTATTAAGGTTGGCTCATTTGTCTTAGGAACTATTAAGGTTTCTGAGGTCCAGGGTTCGAAACTTACTTTGTACATTTTCCAATTAGAGAAAGACACCATGCAAGTTTGGGAGACCTATCTCTTGAGGCTATATAACTAGTTAATAACTAGTTGTAACTTGTAAGCTATATAGGAAAGTGTTGATGGGCCAAAACCCATCTCCCTTTATCCATCTCTTTTTTCAAATTTGCAACTCTGAGCACTGCGCTTCATTTTCATAATGAAAATCTTTAATTCTATAAAAAAAAGGTATATTTAAAAATGTAAAAATTATGTGATTGCA